TTAAAGTTTTTCACAATGTTAAGATTTTACACTAGTGTTAATATCAACCTATTTTAAAGGTCAACACAAGGTTAAGATCAACATAGTGTTAAGATCTCCCATTATTTTAAGATCAACCCCACTAGTTTAAAGGGCACACTTTTTAAAGACCTAAAATTTTTTTTAAAATTTACACAGTGAAAAAAACTACACAAGTGTTAAAAACTACACAAGGGGAAAGTCTAAAATAGTTTTAAAGGGCTACACAGGTTAAGATTTTAAAACTAGTGTTAAAAATTACACTAGTTTAAGGGTTTTACATATGAAAAATTCAAAAACCATTTTTAAGGTCTACACAAGTTTTAAAGGGGTCTACACTATGTTGGGTTTTCACTATTTGTTAAAAACCTCCCAAATTTTAAGTCTACACAAGTTTTAAAGATCCCCACTATTGTTAAGGTTTTCCACTATTTTAAGGTTACACAGTGTTGGGTTCTACACTAGTTTTTAAGGTCACACTAGTGAAAGTTCTAAAACCTAGTGTTAAGGTCTTACTTTTTAAGTTTTAAAAAAGTTCTACACTAGGTTAAAAATTCTAAACTGTTTTAAAGGTTTCTTAAACAGTTTTAAGGCAAACCCCTGTGTTAAAAAACTACACTGGTTTTAAAGGTCTAACTAGTTTTAAAATACCCAACACAAGTTTTTTTAAGGGCCCCCTAGTTTTTTAAACCCTACACTATTTTAAAAAGGGTCTCACTATGTTAAGGTCTACAAAAAGGGTTTTAAAAGGTCAACACAAGTTTTAAATAACACTAGGAAAGGGTCTACACATTTTTAAAGGGCCCAACACTGGGTTTTTGGGGTTCTACCTATTGAAAAGGGGTTTTACACTAGTTTAAAAAACACTGGGGAAAAAAGGCAAACACTATGGTTAAGTCAAAAAGGGGGGTTTAAGGGTTACACTATTTTTAAAATCTACACTATTTTTTAAGGTTACACAAGTGTTAAAGATCTACACAAGTGTTTAAGAATTTTCCAAAAAAAAGGGTTAAGCCCAAAAACTAGTTTTTAAAAATTTTTTCTACACAAGTTTTTAAGATCTACACTAGTTTTAAAGGGGTTCCACTATTTTTAAAAAACACCACTAGTGAAAAAGGGCTAAAACAGTTTTTAAGGCCGCATTTAGTTTTAAAGGCTACACTGGGTTTTAAAGGATTACACTATTTTTAAGGCAAAACTAGTTTTAAGATTAAAATTATTGTTCAAGATTCTCCCACTATTTTTAAGGCCCAACATATTTTAAAGGGTCAACACTAGTTTGGGGTTCAAACACTATGTTAAAATCTACACTTTGGGGGGCCTCCCATTTGGGTTAATTTTCTCCCACTAGTTTTAAGGTTTTCACAATTAAAAGGTTTTCACAAGTAAAAAGGTCTACCCCAAAGTTTTAAAATTCTAAAACCAATTTTTAAAGGGCCCCAAAATAGTGTTAAGGTTTAAAATAGTTTTAAAGGGTCAACATTTAAAAAACCAATTTATAAAAAAAAAGGATTTCCCACTTTATGGTTAAAAAGGTCAATTACACTGTATTAAAGGTTCTACATAGTTTTTAAGGGTCAACACTAGTTTTAAAGGGTCTACACTATGTTAAGGTTACACTATTTTTAAAGGTTTACCCAAGTGTTAAGGTTTTAAACACAATTTTTTAAGGTCCTACCAAATTTTTAAAGGGGTAACCTTTTTTAAATTTTGTAAGGTCTCCACTAGTGTTAAGGAAAACACTAGGGAAAGGTCTACACTAGTTTTAAAGGGTCTACCCCCCCTTTTTAAAAAGGTCAAACACTAGTTTAAAAATTCTGCACAATTTAAGGCTAAAACCGTAAAAAAGATCTACACTATTGTTAAGGTCTAAAAAAAATTTTAAAGGGTTCCCACTGTGTTAAAACTACATTAGTGTTAAAAAATTAACTAGTGTTAAGATCAACACTAGTGTTAAAGGCAAACACTAGGGGAAATTTCCCAAAATATTTAAGGTTTTCACTAGTTTTAAAGGTTTTCCCACTATTTAAAAATTTAAAACACAATTTTTAAAGGGTCTACACTTTAAAAAATTTTAACACTATTTTTAAAGGGGTCTACACTATTTTTAAATTTCTACACAATTTTAAATTTATACACGGGGTTTTAAGGTTCACTATTTTTAAAGGTTACACTATTGTTAAAAACTACATTTTAGAAAAAAGGCCCTACAAAGTTTTAAAAAGGGTTTTCACAGTTTTTGGCCTACACGTTTTAAGGTCTACACTAGGTTAAGGTTTTACACTAGGGTTAAAAGGGACTAAAACTTTTGTTAAAAGGTCTCACTAGTGAAAAAAGACTCCACAAGTAAAAAAGGTCTCCCCTAGTTTTTAAGGTCTACACAATTTTGAAAAGGGGTCAAAAACAAGTTTTTTAAGGTCTACACTAGTTTTAAAAGTTCTCCCACTAGTTTTAAAGGGTTCTACACTAGGTTAAGGTCTACATTTGTGTTAAGGTCTCACAAGTGTTAAGATCCACAAATTTTTTAAGGCTAAAATAGGTTAAGGACAACACGGGGTTTTAAATTTTCTACACTAGTTTTTAAGGTCTACACAAGTGTTAAATTACACTATTTTAAAGGGTCTACATTTGTGAAAAGGTTTCTACAAGTTTTTTAAGGTTTTAAATAGTGTTAAGATTTTACACTTTTGTTAAGGTCTCCCACTGTTTTTAAGGTCTACACTAGTTTTAAGCAACATATTATAAAGGTTACACTTTTTTAAAATTTTTAACACTAGTGAAAAGGGTTCTACACTAGTTTTAAAGGCTACACTATTGTTAAGGTTTTAACAAAGTTTTAAATTCAACACTAGTGTTAAGGTCTCCCTTTTTTTTTAAAGGGTTCTACCAAGTGTAAAATCTACACTAGTTTAAGGTTTCCCACAATTGTTAAGGTAAAACACTATTTGTTAAGGTCAAACTATGAATTGTCAACACTAGTTTAAAAGGTCAACACAATGAAAAGGGTTCAACCTTTTTTAAACGCCCAACCTAGTGTTAAGGAAAACACATTGTTTAAGGTCAACACAATGTTAAGGTCAACCAAGTTTTAAAGGGGTCAACACGTTTAAGGTCAACACTATTTCCCCGTCAAACCCAAACAAATTTCAAAAAAAAATTTTCCCAAAGCTTAATTTTAATATAAAAAAAGGACTGTCCCAGGGGTAAATTTTAAATCTAATATAAAAACATATATATATTTTATATAAATTATATTAAATATATATATAAAATAATAATTTATATATAAAAATTTAAATATATATTTTATATATATTTTATTTATTTAATATATTTATATGTAAATTTATATATAAAAAAAATTTTATATATAAAAATAAATATAAATAACATTGATAAAATCAGTTTTTAAAAATTTTAAATTTTAAATTTTGTTTTTGTTTCAGAGCCACCCTGTAAGTAGTGACTTTAGCGGGAGTTGACTTTTCCCTTCTTAAAGGGCCCCTTGACCCCGGGGTTTGAGCTCCCTTCCCATCCCTGAAATTAAACTTTAAAAACCTCCATTCCAATTATACTTTAAAACCCTGTAGGTTTTTGGGGTTTTCCCCAATAAAACCTAACAAGGAGAGGTTTATTTAGGTATAGGTCTCCTACCTTATGACAGGACAGTGGCTAGAAAAAAGTCTGTGGAGATATACTGTCCATCAGTATGTTAGTGTTGTGGACAGGTGTACACACACCAGAAACACATGTAATGGGTGATGGTTACATTGTGGTGTAATTATTTTGGTTGCCGACAGTCTGTGACCGGCAGTCTGTGACCGGCAGTCGCTGTGACCGGCAGCCTGTGACCGGCAGCCTGTGACCGGCAGTCTGTGACCGGCAGCCTGTGACCGGCAGCCTGTGACCGGCAAGCCTGTGACCGGCAGCCTGTGACCGCAGCCTGTGACCGGCAGCTGTGACGAGCACAGACCACTGTGACCTAAAACATACCTGAGCCGTGAAGGAGATACAGTTATTTATAATAATATATATATATATATATATATATATAAATATATATCTATATATATATATATATATATATATTAAATAATATATATATATAAATATATATTATTATAATGCAATAAGATCACAGTAAAGGGCTTTTTATGAAGCAAGATTTTAAAAATTATTATTTATCCAGTGTATTATTAAATTCTTCCCAAATTCTATTAATTATAAATGGATCAATTTATATAAAACCAAAGGAAATATTCATATTATTGTCAAAAATGCTTTTTATGAAACAAGATTCAATTATATTCCTGTCGACCATGGACTTGCTTGATACTACTTTCTCAACTTTTTGAAAATCAATTGGATGGTTAAAATCTCTTACATGAATAAATAGAGCATTGGAATCTTGTCCAGTTTTAATGCTATATTTATGTTGTTTTAATCTTAGTTCGAGATTTTTACCAGTTTGACCGTAATAAACTTTATCGCAAATTTTACAAGGAATCTTATAGACACATCCATCAGCATTTTGGGGGGAATTCTTTATCAAAAGTTTTTTTACTGTATCAAGATTTTTGAATACAACTTTAATATTAAAAGTCTTAAGAAGAGAAGGCATATCAACCAAGTTTTGATGGTAAGGGAGAACCAACATATTTTTAGATATTTTTAGACAAGTCTTGACAGAGCAAAGTACACGTCACCATGAGCAAAGTACAGGTCACCATGAGCAAAGTACAGGTCACCATGAGCAAAGTATAGGTCACCATGAGCAAAGTACACGTCACCATGAGCAAAGTACAGGTCACCATGAGCAAAGTACAGGTCACCATGAGCAAAGTACAGGTCACCATGAGCAAAGTACACGTCACCATGAGCAAAGTACAGGTCACCATGAGCAAAGTACACGTCACCATGAGCAAAGTACAGGTCACCATGAGCAAAGTACAGGTCACCAATGAGCAAAGTACCCGGTCACCATGAGCAAAGTACACTTCACCATGAGCAAAATACAGGTCACCATGAGCAAGTACAGGTCACCAAGAGCAAAGTACACGCACCATGAGCAAAGTACACGTCACCATGAGCAAAGTACAGGTCCCCTGAGCAAAAGTACAGGTCACCAATGGCAAGTACACGTCACCATGAGCAAATACAGGTCACCCTGAGAAAATACAGGGCACCATGAGCAAAGACACTCACCTGAGCAAAGTACATTTTTCCCGACAAAGTGCCCAAAAACAAAGTAATCACCAGGCAAAAAGT